ATGCTCGTAGGACCAACCTCAATAATGAGCTCATGCAAAAAATGGTGGATAAGATAGATGTATTTAGCGCAAACATGAAGTGTGTAAATATACATTGGACCGATAAGTTATTCACGGTCATATATGCCCATTTACAGGACTTTAGTGTTGATAAGCTAGATACATACTATCGTTATCTCTTTTTGAATGGGCATGAATCAAGACTATTTATGTGCATATCTCCGGTTGGTCAAAAAGAGTTGATTGATGCATTTCTCAACAATGTGGGTTGAAGAACAATAGAATATGGGTTCACGTGGTATTTTCTCACTTCTAACATACTTGTTAAATCCACTTACTTTTGATAAAAGACTAGTCTTGCTTAATTAAAGGAACTACTCTTAGGGATGTTATTTTTTATGTTTGTGGAACATTATGATGATGGAATATATTATTATAATATATAGTAAGTATTTATATGCCTCCATATTTAGTTGTGATTCCACGTTTAGCGTACAGTTTAATATGAATATTTATCTTTCACCAATATCTTTACTTTTCTCACTCATATTTTTTCTGGTTAGAATTTGGTATGTAAACATTACGTTTTATAAATGTATATGGACTGATACGTTTACTTGGTCGTTGGAAGTTAAATTTGACAATATTTATTTGGATCAGTAGATTTTCTACTGGTATTGCCCATGGTTTAGAAACGCTCATGGTTTTGAAAGCCAACTGATTTTTTTCTTATAATTGACTCATCTACTCAGTCTCCATAACGTACATGTTTGGTATTTTCAGGTTTGATGTGATTTTCTATGTCATATACATATTTATGACTATTCAGGTTGTTTATAGGTTTTTTACAGGTTTCATAAGAATTTTTCGCTAATTCAGGTATGTATTTCATAAAATTATGAATAATCGGGTTATTATAGTTTTTGTTTGTTTTTTTCATGTCAAGTAGGTTTCGTGTGATTTTTTCATGTCAAATCAGGTACGTGGTTCATAATAATTAATTATGTTATTCCAGGTTTCGTATGATTTTTTATGTCATAGATATTTATAATGAATTCAGTTATTTACTATTTGTTCATGTTACATTCGCACTTTTATTTTGGTAAGATTACCTCCCATAGCGATAACAAATAAATTTGTCTTTAGTGGGGTAAACATACCACAGTGACCGTATATACTTTTTCCTACGCACTTCACTACCAACTAAACACAACAAAAGTGGAAAATATCTAATCAACAAAAGTTTTTCCTTTTTCCATACCAACCAAACATAAGAAAAGTGCATACATTAGTTTCCCACCATATTGTATGTGTGAACCAAACTCAAACAATCTATTTCTTGATAAAATTTAAAAACCCAAAACATTAATTTCTTTACACGGAATTGCATTTCCCAATACATGGGAAACGAACCAAACAGCTCCTAAAAATACAAAAGTGAGAATGTCCTTTCATAAGAATTGCACTGTGAGTCATTAACAACTTCACATTCTCTCCTTCTTAGAGGTATGAGTAGCTTGGGACTTTGTAGTACAATTATTATAATTATTAATAGGATTAGAAAAGAGATGATTTGATTAAAGGGAAGAGAAGAAGAAAGAGAATGCGAATCGTCACTTCTCAATCTTACCATTAAAGGCCTCATTTATCTTTAAATTATTGATTTTGCAAGTTTTTAGTATTGTGATTAAAAAATAAAGTTGATGCAAATGAAAAAAGAATTGTATCCTACTCCACTATGCTTAAAAGAAGAATCTAGACAATTATTGTTCGTACTATACTAAATATTATACTAAATATTATAGTATGAACAGTAAATCAAATCTGCTACTACATATTTAAAGTTACTATTTATGCTATAATATTTTGTTGTATCATAAACAGTAAAGCAAATCAAATGTATTAAAAAATGAGTCTTTCTCTAAGTATAGAGGAGCAGATATGATTTCTAAATTAAATATATTAAAACTTGGATCATTCTTAAAGCATAGAGGAGTAGATACAATTTCTAATTTTAAGCATACAATATTTAAATCAAATGTATTAAAACTTAAAGGGAGGCAAGTTCAAAATGCAGTGCTTAGAAAAATAGGGAGTCGTGTTTTGCACAAGGTGCACACTAGTTTGAGCAAATAGAAGACTGAGGCAAAACGACACCACATTCTTGCTTCCCTGGTGAATGAGAACTAACAACGTTGAGTGTTTTTGTATGCCATGTTATTTTGTCAACACAATGTTGAATGTTTTTTGTCAACACTAATTTAACTCATTATAACATTAGTATTAAACATATTATTAATATATTATATACTAATTATAATAAAATATATTATAAATAAAACGGTATAATATTTTTTATACATTACAGTATTATAAATATTAAATATAATACAATATAATATTGTATAATGTATTATAATATTATATTACACTTTAATGTGTTATATTATATTATAATTATTACATATTATTTTCAAATAATAATATATTAATTATTTGGTATATCAATTTGTTATTTTATATATTTACATAATATTATTTTATTATTAATATAATATTATACTATTATCAATATAATATAATATTATTAATAATATTAATTAATATTATTACTAGTATATTATTAATAAATTATAAATATTTTAATATTCTATTAACAATTTATGATATAAACAAATATTATATTATGAATATACTATTTTTACATCAACATTTGCTAGTAATAAATTATTTATAATTTTCAATAAATTATTTATTATTAAAAATTATTTTACTTTATAATATATTAGTATTTCATATATTACATTACATTTACTACATAATATATTATTATACTATTATTATATTATTATTAAATATGTTGCTATTATATAATATTTTATAATTATTAATTTATTACAATTTATTTATTAACAGTTAATATATTATAGTGATTATAATCTTGTATAGTATATTATAATATCATTATTATATTATTCTTTATTATCAATAACCCTTTTATTATTTTTTTAGTTTATTTATATTTTATTCTTTATTATTATTATATTACTTTAACTATATTATTATATAATACATTATGAACATATTAAATACTAGTATTTACTATGTTAGTATATTATTATACAAGATATTTTAATTATTATATTTTTATATTATTTAATAAATATTACTAATATATTAGATTAATTATAATATAGTATAGTATAATATAATATAATATAATAAGTATCTCGATAATAACTATATATTAGTTGCATTTAATATATTACGCTAGATATTACATTAACATCTTCTCAAACTCAAAACCAAAACGCCAAACTTAAAACACTTAAAATGTATTTTGAAATAGGTATTGATTTCTTTGTTTGAGGATGATTTAACTTCAAAAACACTATGGTTTCTAAATGCACGACGTTTTATTTTTGGTAAAAACACTATGTAAACAAGAGAAAAAAAAAACCATAATATCCAAATGAAGCCCTAGTTTTCCAATCTCGAAACTTCGCTCTTTCTTCATGGAAACTTATATAAGCTAACAAATCTCTTCATAAAAAAACATGCAGCCCGAATATTGGTACAAATAATGGTTTTGCAGAACATATTCTCTAACGCCCAAACAGAAAAATCTAATCATGCTTCACGTACACAGCTTTGCTTAGTAATCTGGAAAATTTTTTTAAAAACTAAATAAAAAAATTTGAGGAAAAAACATCTAAACCATTCGATCAAATATCACTTGCCAGGGTGTTGGATAAGGCTTATTATTTAAAGCTTATAAGTTCTACTAGTTTTTAGTAACTTTGGATTTTATGATAAAAATATTATAAAAATTGTTTGGGTAGTATAGTAATTTGTTTAGTCAAAACCTATCTTATTTAGGTAAGCTTACAAGTTAATTTTTCAAAAGCTAGCTAGGATACAAAAGCTAGGCATAGCAGCTTTTTAAAATGTGATTTATATAAGCTAACTTATTTTGTATTTTACCAAATACATAGAAATAAAAAAACTAGTTTAAAAACTAGTTTGTCTAAAAATAAATAAACTACCCCAAACACCCTCTTATTCTGATAGCAAGCAAAGATGCCAAAGAATAGTAATTAATCCAATTGTGTTATATTGCCATAGTTGCACACTATCGTGTACAAGTTCCTTCAATACTGGTATACACTTGTGATTTGAATCCTTTACAGTATTAAAAAAAAATAGTAGTCCACCATTTATAAGTTCCTTCGGTACAGGTACTCACTTGTGATTTGAATCCTCTACAGTACCAAAAAATGGTAGATAGACTACTAATTTTTACTATCAATGTCTGATTGTTTAACAGATAATTATTTATGATTCATTCTATATTGAGAATTCATGATAATTCTTATGAATGACTCTTAATTTGCGCTCGAAGAGAAATCATAATCAGTCATTAGGCAATCAACGATTGTGGTACAAGTACCAACTTCTCCTCTAAGAATATCCAGATCCGTTACGCTTGGCCTCTGGCTTCAAACGCTCCAACTACGACCATCAAATTTGCAAATATCGATACTAGTGATCTCTAGTTTCTTCAGCATGACCAACATCATCCAGTGACAACGATCCACATCAAAGTCTATCGTCTGTTTTTGCTGTATTAATTGATAACTGCACTGATTGGAACATCAAAGAAGAATATCAATTAATTGTAAGTCAAGAATAATTGCTCCTAAGAAAACAAAAACAAAACAAAACAAAAGAAAGAACATAAATCTCCAAGGTGAACCCTGCAACACTATTTCTTTCGTTCAAGTAATAACCAAGAAAGAAATATCAATGTTCACCATAGAAAACACTGAAGATTGACAAAGCAATTTCCATAAATATCATTTCTGAAATATCAGATTTCTCTCTGAAAAAGGAGGGAGAAAAGATTTATAACCATATTAACGAGAGAATGAGGAACCTGGTACATTAACTGCTCAATGCTAATGCCACTGTGGTCGCAAGGCT